TGCAAAAAAAACCCCAGCATGTATAGGCTTTGGGGGGGCTTGTATAGTGCTCCTGGGGGCTGGGGGGGGGGGGAAACAAACAAAAAAGGGGCCATTTTTTGCTCTTTTTCCCCTCCACAGCCCCCAAGAACACTTTGCAGGCGTCCCAAACCCTCTTCATGTCCATTTTTGTGAAGGGGCGGGGTTTCGGTAGGCAAAAAATGCTGTATTCAGTGTATAAGACACACCCAGATTTCATCCTCTTTTTGGGGGGAAAGGGTGCGTCTTATACTCTGAAAAATACGGTAACTATGGCATCTTAAGTATATCAGAGCTAAATAAAAGATGCGCTGCAGTTTTGACCTCCTGATTTTGGAAAACTTTCTGGGGACAGATCCTAAAGGAACAACTTCAAGGTAAACTGGAGGGGGCTGGGTGGTTTGTAGGCTTTATGGGATGACTACAAATAAAGTTCTATCTCTACTACCAAATTACTACTAGACTTGTAATCACATAGTCAGATACATTCAACCAAACCACACAAGGGATAATCTGCCCCTCAGATTAATTGCTTTGAGTAACGTTGGCTAGAATTTTATCCTTCTACTTTGGTTATATATCAGTAATTCCATCTCATATTCACACGGTCACATTTCTGCAAACCTCATTCTGTTCCCTGATCTCTGCTTTTTCTCTTCTCATAATCTATTTAGAGGCCAACACAGTAAATTATATATAGCAATAGCACTTAGACTTACATACCATTTCAGAGTGCTTTTAGAGCCTTTTCTAAGCGGTTTACAGTCAGCATATATTACCCCTAATAATCGGGGTCCTCATTTTACCAATCTTGGAAGAATGGAGGGCTGAGTCAACCTTGAGCCAATTAGGATTGAATTGGCAGTCAGCAGACTTAGCCTGCAATGCTGCATTTTAACCACTGTACTACCATGACTCTACTTTGTATTGGAATTTGATATTATAAATGTGTTTAAGCAAAAGCTTAAACCAGGAGTAGTCATCCCATGGCTCAAGGGCCACATGAGCCCCTGGGCAGCTAGTATTGTTGTGCCCACACAGTGGTGGTATTCAGCCAGTTCGGGTGAATTGGTAGTGGCGACCTGCCCCGGCTCTATGTTATCCTATTTCGCCACATTTTCTAAGCTGTGCGCATGCGTACAAGCCACACACGTGAGCAAAGCGCATGCACGGAAGACTGCCCATGCTCACGAAGCGAGCATGCACGCTCAGTTTCGTTGCATGGTGAACTGGTAGTAAAATTATGTGAAACCCACCTCTGCCCCCACGAGATCATAAATCATATAATAATGTTAAAAGTTCATGTAGTTAAATTATAATATATATTTCATATGCAACCCAAGACAATTCCTCTTCACTTACCGTATTTTTCAGAGTATAAGACACACTGTTCCACAACCCTAAGAGCGTGGAAATGTTGGTGCGTCTTACACACCAAAGCCCTGCCCCCGCTTCCCATTGAAATGGGCCGTTTTTTGCAAAAAGAGAGTCTTTTTTGCGTTCCCTCAGCCCCCAGCAGCACTCTGCAGGCTTCAGCAGGGCTGGGGCAAGGCAAACACCCCCGTTTCTAAAAAGAGGAGCCTTTTTGCCTTGCCTCAGCATTGCTGAAGCCTGCAGAATGCTGCTGAGGGCTGAGGGAAGGCAAAATCTTTTTCTTACTTACCTCTTCGAAATCTTGGTGGGTCTTATACACCATTGCGTCTTATAGTCTGAAAAATACGGTAATCTGGCCCAGGCAAAGTAAAAGGCTCATATAAATTCCATTCAGTTTTAAATGAGTTGTAATTATGATAGACTGTCATACCTTTTTCTTTCATGTAACCACCACCGCTCTGGACCCAAAACTGTAAGTATAGAATACTCTGCCTGATGTCACAGTTATTCACAGTTAACAAGGCAGCAAAGTCTCTGATATCGGTTCTTAAATTCTCGGCCAAACACAGAACTTGGAGATAGCTAGCCACATTTATCTAAATACAAACAGATGAAAAGATTGACAACACTTGCCTTTAGTAAACATATCAAAGAATGCTCTGTCGCAAGATTACAAATTATATTTATTTGCTAGTGTTGTTAAAAATAGGTACTAAGCCAATTAGAAAGTGTGGTGTTAGATGTTCATTTCCACGTTTCTATAATTAACAATCTTGTTATACAATGCACTGTTTTTAAATCCTTATTATGCAATAAATAGCATATAGGTAAAGGTAAAGGTTTTCCCGCACATGCATACTAGTTGTTTCCAGCTCTAGGGGGCAGTGCTCATTTCTGTTTCAAAGCCAAAGAGCCAGTGCTTTCTGAAGACGTCTCCGTGGTCATGTGGCCGACATGATTAAAGGCCGAAGGTGCACGGAATGCTGTTACCTTCCCACCAAAGGTGGTTCCTATTTTTCTACTTGCACTTTTTACGAGTTTTTCAACTGCTAGGTTGGCAGAAGCTGGGACAAGTAACGGGAGCTTATTCCGTTACACAGCAGTAGGAATTTGAACCACCGAATTGCCGACCGTCTTAGCCACTGAGCCACCACATCCCTAGATAGCATATACTGTACATTATAATGAAAAACTTGACCATTTTGATATGTAGAGTGCTGAACATTGCAATGCAGATAAATAAAAACTAATTTCATAGCACAAAAGCTGGTTTTCATCTGGAAAACCAGAAAACCCTGTGGAACGATCTCCCCGTTGAGATCCGTACCCTCACCACCATCCAGACCTTCCGCGCAGCCCTCAAGATCTGGCTCTCCCAGCAGGCCTGGGGATAGGTTCCCAATTCACCCGCCCGAGTGTTTGATTGCTGAACGAAAGTTGTGTTTTATTACTTTTCTTTGTTCACATTTTGTTTTGTTTTTTGATACTGCACCCCCCTCCCTTGTGATTGTAAGCCGCGCTGAGTCCCCTCAGGGAAAAGGGCGGCCTATAAATTTTAATAAATGAAAAAATGAAAAATGAAAAAAAAAATGAATGAAATGAAAACCAACCCCAAAAGACTTTTAAAGCAGTGGAATATCAGGGTTTTTTTTGTTTTGAAGGCCATACAAGTGACCAGTAAATTGAGAGCCACCTATAAATATCTTCTGTAATGTAATCTCTGCCTTTATTTTATATATATTGTATTAGATTATTATGTAATTCTGTAGTGCCGACTTTAAAAATAAACCCTAGCAGTGTGGAAAGCTGAAAGACAGAGCTCTCTGTCCCAAAAATGAAGAAACATCGGAGGAAAATACAACAGAAAATATGAAAGGATACGATAATAATCAAGCTAGTACCTGAAAACTGCAGTGATTCATTTAATAGCTGTGGCAAAAAAGGTCATAAAATGGGGCAAAACTATCTTGCTTAGCAATAAAAATTTTTGGGCTCAATTGTAGTCGTAAGTCGAGGACTATCTGTGAAAATAATCTGTAATGTCTTTCTGCACATTAATTGAATGGATGACATTTTCTGGGTACTGTCAAAATAGTTGCATTAAATTATAATTACAGTTTTACCTGATACAGGTTTATCATAAGAAACTATAAGCAACATTTCTGGAATTCCAGAATTAAAAAACTTACCAAAGAAGGTACTCTGAAAGTGATTTGCTCAAAGCAGCCATCAAATGTTTCACTGAACAATGGATCTACACAAAAGATTCATAATAAAGGCGTTTACCATTTTGTCATACAGAATTATTTCTGTTTTTATAAGACAGATAGGAAAAAATAGAAAGCTAGCATTAAAGTATCCCCTTTACAGTGGTTATGTAGAAATATTCAGCACATTTGAGATCACTGAATTACTATTGTAATAAGAATATAGGCACCCAATAAATGGAAAAAGCATAAGACTCACTGCCATAACTGGTTAATAACATAATAGCCATTTGTCTATGCCAGGTGAGTCGTGATCTTGACTGGCTCAAGGTTGACTCCGCCTTTCATACTTCCGGCAAAATGTGGAGCCAAATTGTTGGAAGCAATAGGCTGACTCTGTAAACCGCTTAAGAGAGGGCTGCATAGCACTATGAAGTGGTATATAAGTCTAAGTGCTATTGGTATCCTATAGTAAATTAAGATACATAGAAATCTCAGGCCTTTTGAGTGCACACTTACCAGAATAAATATGTTTTCCATATACAATATTTTCACTCAAATTTTCCTTACTTGGCCAAACATACAAAAAGAAAATATCCATCTTTACCCTACTTTAACTATATGGCCATACAGTACCATTTAGGGCACAGTACCATTTAGACTCATGATATAGAGGAGGAAATAAGTTTGCTGATAAAGTTAAAATGGATTAGAAAACATGGAACAATCAATTTACTCTACAGCAAAATGTTTATTTCCCTGAACATTCAAGAACATTAAAATTTCTGTTTTGGTGCTGATTAAGTGCCTTGGTAATACCCTCTCAGAATTTTGTACTATTCCTGAGGGGGAAACACTTGATAATACCATCTGGGGCAGTGATCCCCAACCCCCGGTCCGCGGAGTACTTGGCACCGGGCCGCGCAGCGGCCGGGGGCCATGATCGCTCTTTTAAATCCGCTCCTCTTAAATGCATTTCTCTCCCCCC